ATATATATGGGCAGAATGGCATTACCAGCAAAGACAATGAACACTGTAATGTTCATTTCTGGGATCTTGCTCAACATTAGCTAGCTACATCTAACCTCGTATGTTGCGGCCCCCAAAGCTTGAAGTCGAAGGTTCTGATTAACTGAGCTGCTGCCGCTGTATGTGAACGTATATTTTAGCGACATTGACTTACTGTTGCGGCATATACCAGACCGTAGATTGTGGCCATATTTTTGGTCCGAAACTGCGCGTACAAGCACCAGGTATGATGACAAAGTGGCCGGAGAGGCAGAAGAATATTGCAAATGTCCAGATAGCGTATAGATAGGGACCCGCGGCTCCAACGGCGACATAGGCATAGGTCACAAGCAGGAGACCCCAAAGGAGGAGAAGTGAAAGCAGAGGACACTAAAATTGCACAATAAAAACAGAGAAAATTTACTGTTCTTACGGAACACGTAAATTTTTTACAAATTACAGAAATTATACAAAAGAACATAGCAAATCTTGCCGCTTGAAACATCTTCCTAAAAAAATATATAAAACCTAGATTTTATTGCATAAAAATAAACCCTACATAAATTTAAAGAAAAACAAATATTGGCATTACCTTAAATGAAAAGTGGTCAACGAGTATCCCCCAAATAACTCGGCCTATACAATTGAAGGCGGCGTTGCTGGTTGCAATGTCTGATAAGTACTTATCTTTATGGCCATTGTCGATCCCGTAAATCTAAGAAAATACAGAAGTTTGGTTAGCGCGTCAAAGTACGGCGGTACAAAGGGATTAATTTCATTTCGAATCTGTGCTAGTTGAAGGAAAGATGCGGCCTTGGACCTAACATAAATGCACCCATTGTAGCGGCTATAGAAATGCAATGTTATATACATATCAGAAAGGTAAATAGCGGTCATTTAGAACTTTCCCCTTCCGATATAAATATATAAAGTGTACATGAGCAAATACTTGAAGGCTTTTTAACAGGCTCTTGTAGTTTTTCATTAAAATTTAAAACAAAGACCACTGGTGGTGAATGATGAAACGTACTTTAGAGACCTTTATCTACTTTTACATAGATTTAATGTATTTAAGATCGTTCGTAAAGAAGAGTAATACACTGGTACATCAGCACTAACCAGCCTTTACGACGGACTTATTTTCAACCAAAAATGCTTTTGTAGAGTGCCCCACAGAGCGAAAGCAACAAGACTCTTCGAAAGTATAAAGGAATGAAGTGCGATAATTCGGTCAGTTATCTTGCTGTTAGCTCATTGGCAAGCGAAACGCAAATTAATTCTCTGCCCCTGTGCAAAATCTAGCATCAGACTACAAATGTAAAAATGAAAAGCAGTAAATTAAAGGAATTATACATTAAGAGAAACGACCTAAGTGATAAAGCCTACGCAAACACAAGTACCGATGGAGAATTTTCCCGCAGCTTAAAATCTTAATTTTGATCCACCTTTCATTTTTTCTGTTTTAAAATTTTCTAGAATCTCGGTCAAATGGGTCGGTAAATTTCATCAACACGCAGTAACGAACGACCTCGAAAGCTGAATGTAACCAAAATTACCTTAAAGGTAGACGTGAAAAGGGAGACTGGTATAATGTTAAAGAAGACTACGCAAAACAAAATGTAGAAATCCACGCATTTGATTGCCTCCATGACGGTTAGACTTTTCTGTTGCACGGCTGTGGTGTCCGATAAAGTATTGCTGCCCCTTTAAGAAAAACAACCATTTATTAAACAAAATAATATTTTTGTAAAAAATTTAAGTGCTGAGTCCCTTACAGGCTCTCAGGATCCTCATATTCATCCTCGTCAGTGACACTGCCGTTTTTTGAACTAAAAGTAAAAAACTTTGGTTTGACCTCCAAACTTTTGCATCGGACAAAAAAATGTTCAAGAGAAAATGGACTTACTTGACTGACTTCACATTTATTTCTGAAGAGGACTAAAAAACAGTTACTTTTATAATAAACTTATTTTTTTAAGTGCAACTACAACTTTCAAGTCATTTTTTAAACATATGGGCTCACGTTGTGACAGGTTCGCATCAAAAGCAGGCCCACAATTTCCAGGCCAAGTACTATCCCGCCAAGAATGAGAAATGCCGAAGGAATTCTGTTTTCGACTTCACTTGGATACTTTTTGAATATAAAATAAAAACGCGCACAGTGACTTAGGAAGAAAAATTTTTAACAATAGATGATAAGCTTAAAATACGCGCGATTTACCCATTAGTAGGCTGTTGGTCGTTTGGGTTAATAATTCTAGTCTGAATAGGTGTGAAAACTAACGCTCCTAATCCGAATCCTGACGCAATTATACCCACTACGGTAGCTCGGTGGGCAGGAAACCACTACAAAGAGAAATCAGACTTTTTGCTATTTCCGAGAAAAAAAACAAATCTTTTAAAATAATGCACATAAAAGACATTTATATTGAAACGTACGGAGGACGCGACTTGGAAAATCACAGAGTAGGGAATCCCCATTCCAATTCCAAATAAAATGCAGTAAGTGGCAATGTAGGCACCAAGACCTTGGTTTATTGTAAGATAAGTAAGCATTACGCTGCCGCTATTAAAGAAAAACGCAATTTGGATAAAAATATGAAGAGAAATGCAGAAAGCAGCGTTAAGATTAAAGCTCTTGGATTAAATTTTCACAGCGTTCAATTTTAACTGAGCGAAGCACCTGTGGGCTCTTCCATGAAATTATTTAGACGAAAGGCCAATACTGAGTAGCCTGACACAATAAGCTTAATGAGAATACTCCGGCAATATCAGCTGCCTTTTCAAAAAGTTATACTATAAATATAAAATATCTTATATAGTTGAAACAGAGATAGAACATTTCGAGATAATGTTTTAACGGTTAAAACTAACTTATTAATTGATATACAAAAATCAAAGGAAAATAAATTAAAAATACATAACATATAGAATACTGAATGTATAATTATGTGCAGATAAGCTGACAGCTAACAAACAGAAATGCAAATAAAAAACAACCTCCTTATAATTTTTAATTCGTTTTATGGTATGTGAACGGGAGCGATATAAATATGAAAAGCCTAACATAAATATATTGAAGACCTACACGGAAAATACAATTCCAAGTATCAGCGGTATTCTAAAGTTTGTTTTATTTGCTATCACTCCACCGACAGGTAAAGAAACTGCTTGAACAGCTAGAATAACGGACGAAAACCAGGCGCTTTGACTAGATTTTAATCCCATGTATGAAACGACATAGGAGTTCATGTTGCCTAAAATTTAAATTTTCGGAATAAATCTGACCTTACCGACTGTGTAGAAGTAGCCTAATGCCAACTGATACATGAAGCCTCCAATTACACATAGAACTCCCCATGGCAGTAGAGCCGCGACAGAGATACATCGTACAGCCATAATAACGGTGATAAAATTGTGCGCGTTTTCCTTGTGACCCACAAAGGAGTATATTAAAACATAACCATTTCCTAAGCAGGGCGTGACATACCTGATATTCCATATTTCGTTTCTTTGTTTGCGGAAATCTCCTGCCGCTTAATTAGAGCAAGTTTATCACCTTACGATTTGGCCGACCCAGCTCTCAAAAAAGCATGATTTACTGATCGAATGGCACCCAACTAGAAGGAGTGGCCGCGTATAAAGTTTCGGGATTGTGGATCAAGATATCGATTAGGCTCTCACTGCATTGTGCAAAAGCAGTCAAGTCCCTCCCTTTCTTTTTAAAAGATCGTTTTGCTAGGGTATTTTGAAAATTTGTGCGGCCGAAACTGGAGTTTGCTGTCCAAGCCTCGAGGACCAGACAGTGAAAGAACTCAATTCCTTCGAAAAGGTTCAGAGACGCACAACAAGATTTTCAATCGGACAGGGCTGACTACCCTATAAAAACAAGTTTACCTTATCATGAATTGCTTCTTTTAAGTTACAAGCAGCCAGGGTAGACAAATGAAAATTCTTCTTTTTAATCGAGTGTTCGAAACAGCAAATGATCTGCTTCTGGATGTATATATGTCCGCTTCAGTCGAAGTCTTGATGATAGGGCTATAGTGCTACAGCGATACCCAATCTAACGCCAGCCGACACATGTAACCTTACACGTCGGCCCAAATATATATTTAAGTCTTATAGTATTACTTGCTATGTTTGCTTAACATTTATTTATGAAATTATACTCTGCATCAACTTCATTCCACATGCATGCAGTTGAATTTAGTCGAACAAAAATAGATAATTGCGATGATGGCGGACTATCTCGTTTTCGTGATCTTGATGGCAGACTTAGCAATCAGCGAGGGTGTATCATGGTCGCAGCTCCGGCATCACGAGGATCTCGAGGCTTCTACAACTCCCATCTCGGTGTTACGATAAGTAAACTGATGAGGTCCCTATTGGGCTCCCCTGCCTCCTCATCGGCATAACGCGGCTATCTCATGTAAACCTTCCCCATGAGCGACAGTTATATACGTAAAATCCGCCATATCGCATTCAAAACCTCTATAGTTTCCGAGAACTGGGCAATGATTTTTTGTACTGTCTGCTCATAGTTATTATTTTTTCCCACCTAACGGCTTGTGTCAATGGCACCGTCTATGAGCCGAGATGCTGTAATCATGTATTTATGACTTGTGTATGTTCACTATTTCCCATCAACTGACGGCTGTTTTTTGCCCATCTTACCCTCAATAAAACTGAAATGAATTGTCCTGATAAAAACATTTCATACAATTTCATCTGGGGACTTCTTCGAGTTAGCAACTAATACGAACTTAAGGGGTAATCTATTCAAAATACGTGTTACTTGCCCCAAGCTGGACACAAGAAAGTTCTTCTTTTGTAAAAGAATGGACCATGCTTGGAGATACTACTCCTGGATATTGTTATGTTCACCTCCGTTGAAGTCTTTAAGAGAAAGCCATATAGCTAGAGCAATGCCCACTCTAACAACGGTCGATGTCTGAAATCGTACCGCTGACGCAAAATATCTTATTCTTATAGCATTACTTGCTAGGTTTGAGTAACACTAATTTATGAAATCAGTTTCCATGCCAACTTTGTCCCCTCTGATACCAATGGATTCGCAGTACAAACAAAGACGCAACTGCTTCTGTTTTCACAGGTTGCCTCTGATAAAAAATGCCTGACGGATGCCGAAATATCTGGCCAGGGTACCTGCGCGTCATCTATCTTGCCTTCGCTCTGT